AATCCATTGATCTCTGAGTACCAGTTGATTTTGACACATGGCAACCTCATGCATGCATATCTTATAGGTTAGACCTGAACTCTTGTTTTCTTGCCTGTAATATCTACAGAGACAGATCACCAGGCTATCATGAGACCACTTGGTGGATTCCAACCATAACCATTTGGTTAACAACTGAGCCCTAACTGCTTATTCTGGCCATAGATCATAATTTTCATGGCAAGGACTCTGCAATTATAGCAGTGGATAGGCAAAAATGAGGATTAACTTCTGATTGTGAATGATATAAATCCCATCCCAACATGTGCCTAGAACATTTAACCACCTTTCCTTCCTTTTTACTTCTTACACAATTCTACTTATGGAAAAATATCTCACAGGTAGAAAATATATGTGTGAAAGAGTGAAAACAATCTAAATGTCCATCAAGAGGGACTGATAAAATAAAATGTGGAATTGCTGTGATATAATATCATGCTTTGGCTAAAAACTGACTAAGAAAACCCTTTTGGGTACAGATGAGAAAAAAATCCCAGCATAATGCCAAGTTGTGTTATTGTTGTTATGTGCCATCAAGTCACTTGTGACTCATAGTGACTCTATGTACAAGAGCCCTAAACCCTGCTCTATTCTGTGCCAACCTCATTGTCTCCGACACACCTACTCCCACCACCCCAATCACAGAATCGATCCAGCTCATGGAGGGCCATCCTCTCCTGCGCTATAGTGGGGGGGGGGAATGTCAATATAATCAATAGTGTTTACAGTAAATCATCTTTTTATATTTACTGAAGAGGAGGAGAGGATTTTTCATGGTATGTTTTACATAATTTTACAATGTTTTCATTACAATCATGTTAATATATTAATAATTAAAATTGAGACACACAAAGTTAAATATTACAAAGCAAAAATATCTATTTTCTTCAAATATTTCATGGGAAAGGCATAATAGAAAACATGTACTCCTCTAAAATTCATCCTACCTTTCTTACGTGAAGTATTATCTCAAGGCACCTAAGGTAATAAACAGATAATGAGACAATAATTGCTGATGCTATTTTCTGACAATCAACAAGGCATCCTAATGTTCAATTCCAGTCTTATTTGATTTTGCAAACATCTAGAAGCAAGCGTCTTTGCTTAATTCTTACCTGTTTCATTACTGTATCTGTGTTGTGTCTTGTTTGGACTCTGTCTCTACAAGACCATTTAGTGACAATATAGTGAGGAAAGGCTTAAATTCCATTTCTGCTACTTTACGAATTGTATGGTTTAGGGCAAGTTGTACAAATTCTCTGAGTTTCATTTTCCTCAGCTCTAGGCTGTATTATTATTAGAGTTTGTGGGCTGTATTGAAGGTCAAGATAAGGATAACTTCATTAAAGTATTTGGTAAAGAACTGCATAGCTGACCCTCTGGTCGATTTTAAGAGGAAGTTAATTGCATGAGAGGAGATTGCCCATTCTTTACCTGATGAACAAATGGTGGCCTTGAACTGTGTATCTTTGGGATTGCAATACAGCTTCTTGTCACTAGGTCACCAGAGCTCCCTAAAGAATGGTGACTTTCTTGTTGTTAAGTGCCATCAAGTCACTTGTGGCTCATAGAAACCCTATGTACATAGCCTTGAAATCTGCTCTATCCTGTGCCAACCTTACTGTTTCTGACATACCTACTCTTATTTCCCCAGTCACTGAATCAATCCATATCATCGATGGTCTTCCTCTCTTTCTCTGTCCTTCCACCCTTTCAAGCATGTTGTCCCTTACAAAAGACTGTTCCATCCTTGCAACATGTCCAGAGTATATCAGATGAAGCCTCAGAATCCTTGCCTCCAAGGAGCAGCCTGATTTCACCCTCTCTAGGATGGACCTGGCAGTCCATTCTATATTCAACACTCTTCTCCAGCATCACAGCTCAAAAGCATCAATTCTCTTTGCATTATCCTTAGTCATTGTCCAGCTCTCTGATTATAGCAAGCAATTGAAAAGACTATGGCCTGGATCAGGCACACATTAGTCTTCAGACTGATGTAATTGCCCTTCAGTTCTCTGGAGAGGTCTCTGACAGAAGATTTTCCCAGTGCAATCTGCCTCTTGATTTCCTGACTGCTGGTACCAGGAGTGTTGATTGTGGAACCAAGAAAACTAAAGCTGTGAACAATCTCAGCCTCTTCACCATCTATCATGATGCTGCCAATCGGCCCTGTGGTGAGAATCTTTGTTTTCTTGGTATTGGCTTTAATCCGTATTGAAGGTTACAGTCCTTGACCTTCTGCAGCAAGTATTTCAGGTCCTCCTCAGTTTCAGCAAGCAGGTTGTGTCATCTGCATAACGCAGGTTGTTGAATGGTCTTCCTCAGGTATTGTACATAGTTTTACCCAGTAAAACTTAAAAAGATTTAAAATGCTTACTTGTATTTTTTGTGGAACTCTGAAAATATTAGGCATGGTTTAGTATATGTATAGGTTGTCTCTAGGATGAAGTTTGATCTTAAATAGGAAGAATGTGTGACTTTAATGCTGACGTTATGGAATGAATGACCCAAAGGATGCCCTTGAACTTACTCTCGAAGTTCACAAATGGGGCTTTCACTGTTTCTGAGATACAGCTACACTGCATGCCTCAAACCTGTTGCTTAAGAACCTCTCTTCACAATGGACTTGGTATTTCTGTGTTCCTAGGCCTGGATCACAGCCTTCTAGAACAGTATTCAGTAAAACTGTTTGTTGTTCTTACTCAGGTATAGTCTCCATAGCGACTGTCATCATGTTTATTGAAAACTCTGTTCAAGGTTTCTTGTTTTCTAGTCTTCTCCACCTGGAGTGTTTCCCTCGGAGTTTGCTTTCCAAAATATGGCAGGCTGCTTCCATCTGCATCATATGGGGAGGGGGCGGAATGCCCAACTCTTTTAGTATAGGATTGTAAACCTTGGTAGGTCCTCTGAGTGGAAGAATAAAAATATACTACTAAAAATGCCATGAACTTTGATAAGTTACTATAGTTATAGAAAGGCTTCAGGCCTTTTGTTCATAGGGTTGCTATGAGTTGTGCTCAACTCTACAGCAATCAACAACAACTAGACTGTAAGCTTCATGCTGATGGGGAGAAATCTCATTGCTCAATGCTGCGTCTTCAGACTCAGTGTGATACCATCCATTCACATCACAAGTTCATGGACTGTGCTCAGTAAATATGTTTCATGTTGACTGTATAGTGGAGAGAAACTATATTCCAGGTTACTTCACTATAACCAGAAAATAGTAACCAATAGATATTTGTATTCAAGATGACATGTAGTATTTAGAATATAGGAAACTGGTTAGAAAATGCTAAAGATCCTAAGTCTCCATTTGTTCCCAATCCCTCGTGAAGTAAGACTATACTAATTTTGAGTTTTGTTTTTTGTAATTGATTTTAATGAAAATTTACAGAGACTTAGGGTTTCCAGTCATTAATTTTTTGTTGTTGCACTTTTCTCCCTGCCCAACCCCTTCCCCCAATTCCCTTTTCTCCTTGATAAGTAAAAAGAAAAATTCTTTCATTGTTATTTAATCCCTCCTCCCAAGTCCACTGCACTGTGCAGCCTTTGTTCTGGACTCCTGTCATGACAATAATACCCAATCATAAATCCCTCGTAAACAGTTCTCCCCTTCATCTGTTGCCATGCAGTATACATCATTCCTCCCCTCCTTCTCTTTCTTCCCTCAACCCCAATGTTGTTTTACAATAGTGGCCCTATGCAATATTTGTCCTGTTGTGACTGAGATATTTCACTCAGGATAATGTCCTCTAGGGTTATCTACTTTGCATAATATTTCATGAGTTCCTTGTTTTTCAGTGGTTTTGTCCAATACATCTGCTTGCTAAAGCTCAGTGGACCACTTTCACTGTAGCACCTTTTCTTAGAGATCTTGAGTTTGCTTCACTCTGTTCTATCAGTCTCCCTTTACTCTCAAATCTTTCCAAATATATCTACAAAATACACACAAATTGCTTTCAAGAATTGTCCAGCTAACCTGACTTTCACGTGAATTGCTACTCCTAATCCTTTATGTACGTGGTTCATATCCACCAGCTGTTCCATAGGGAGAAAATGGACAATCTCTTCCCATGCAACTTATGACCTCCGAAAACCCGGTGGATTGTCAGGAATGAGTCAGTTCATACTTGACAGCACAACAGTCCTTTCCTAGGGAACTCTAGTAGCCTAGTTGTTAGGGAGCTGCACTGCCAACTCTAAGACAAGTGGTTCAAATCTATTAGCTGCTCTGAGGGAGAAAGGTGGACAGTCTCCTCCTGTGTGATTTACAACCTATATCTCATCTGTGAACTGTTGAACTTGAAGGTAATGGTTTTAAGTTTGTGGGCTTCTTTGTTTTGTTGGGTTTTAAAAAGTCCTTTCCTATTATATATTCTGGCATTCACATCTACACTCAGCTTGTGTCTGGTCAAATGGATTAATACATGTGAAAAAAAAAAAAAAAGACAAGAATCACTGCCTAGTCTCAAAACTTGTCATTGAATTAAAATCCTTCTTTTCCAAAAGAATTGTGTTTAATTAGTTATAAAAATATTTTTTTGCAAATTTCAGTTCCACTAACAAATATTTTTTAAGATCTGTGGCTTCTTTGTCATCTTTCTACCTGATCCCTTGGTGTCACTACAATTTTTTTGTTGTTTTCTGGTATAGCTATATGTGTATTAATTTAAAAAAAATTAAATCTTATACTCCTTACTTGACTCATTGTAAATATAATAGAGAAATAGTCTGCAAACAAACCAATAAAAATGAGATTTTTAAAAAAAATTTAAATGACACTTTACTTTCTTTTCAGATTAGTTCTCCAACACTAATCTCCTTCAGATTTGTGAATGTCTTGCTGTTAGCCACAGGAGAAATGATGGCCGAGTTTCCTCTTCAGTGAGCTCAAAGCTTTCTTCCAGGGGATAATCTGCTTTGCCCTTTACAGAGCTAAATGGCATCTGAGACTTTTCTCACGCTGCTCGAATTTTCTCCAAAATCCAGTCCACATACTCGACCACATTGGTGTAAACGCCTGGCCGCTCTTTTTGAGCACAGCCTTCTCCCCAGCTTGTGATACCCACCAAGTGCCAGACTTCCTCAGATTTACAGGACAGGGGGCCCCCAGAATCTCCCTGTGAGGGGGAAAGAAAAAGATTTGCAGCTCAGTTCATTTGAGTCTTTTCATTCTGGATGTATTTTGTTCAGAAAGATTTTGCATAAAATTCTGTCTTGGACTTTAATAAATTTCAAAGAACTTGATTGATTGCTTTTTATCTAGTCTATTCACTCTAGAGAGTTTGTATGTGGTGTAAATGGTGAACACATTAAACAGTTAAGCAAAAGTTTGGAGGTTCAAGTCCACCTAGAAGTAGCTAGGAGAAAATAACTGATGATCTTCTTTCCAAAGAGCTAGCCACTGAAAACTCTATGAAGCGTGTTTCTATTCTGACATTCATGAACTGCACCATGACTTGGAATCTATTAGACAGCAACTAGATTTACTTTTGTTGGTATGTGCCATCTAATTTGAACAGATTGACAGCTGAACTCCAGCAAGTTTACATAACCAGCTATAAATTACACATGGGGAGATTGCCCACCTTTCTGCTGGTGGATCCAAACCACACTCATTTGGGTTGGTAGTGCAACTCTTTATCCACTAGGCCACCAGAGCTCCCTAAATTCACTTTAAATCTCATAAGCAAAAGAGCATTTATGTGTCCTCTATTCATTAACAGATGTTTGCTCTTTAAATTGTGTTAATCATTCTTATTTGTATATATTTAATGGAGAGAATATTCTATTACCTTACAAGCATCCCTTCCTCCTTCTTTATAGCCAGCACAAATCATCTTATTGGTTATTGTGTGTCCTCTGTATCTTTCTTGGCATTCTTCATTTGTTATCAAGGGAACTTTGGCTTTCTGGAGTGTATTCTGTATTTTATCTGATGGAGAAGAAAGAGATACATATATAAGTATGTATGTATAAATTTTGGTTAATTAAAGAAATAATCTCTTTTTACACACATCTAAAAATGGTATTTATATACATAAATATACATGTATGTAAATTTTCATACACCTAAGTATGGAAAGAAAATATTAAGTTTACCTCATATAATCTTTATGATAATTATAGAATACAAAGATATTCCTATTATCAGGCATGCCATTTTGTTAGCATTAATTAAATGTAAAAAAAATTAAATTCTTCCTGGTGTGAATTCACAGAGCAAGTAACTGCATAATAAACTAGAAGATTCACTTAGAAGTACTAAGTTTTACATGAAAAATATTTAATCCTTAAAGAGATATGCGGCAAAGCTCAGTGTGCCTGGGTCTTAGCCCAAAAGTCTGATGCTCAAGACCACCAGACCACAGAAGAAAGGACATTCTTTCTAAAAAACTTACAGCCCAGAGAAGCCTATCCTATGCTACAAGGTTGCTATGAGTAAGAATTAGCTAAGAAGTACTGAGCTTGGAATTTGGACTTAAGAGATATAGAATCGTATTTAAGATTTCCAATCAGGCACAAATGCTTTCATCTTCAAAACTAGGGGACAAGAAACATTTGATGTATGTTTGTCCTCCCGTCTTCCTAATGAATTGTCTGCAACTGAAAAATGTTATTTTACTGATATTTCTGCTGCATGGCTTGATAGAGCATATTGTTGTTGTTGTTGTTATGTGCCATCAAGTCACTTGCAAGTCATAGCGACCCTATGTACAAGAGCTCTAAATGCCGTTCTATCCTGTGCCAATCCAGCCATCTCAAATGCACCCATTTCACCACTCCACTCACAGAATCAATCGATCTCATCAAGGGTCTTCCTCGCCTGCGCCACCCCTCCACTCTGCCAAACATGATGCCCCTCTCCAAGGGCCAGTCCCTCTTGCAACATGTCCAAACTATGTCAGATAAAGCTTCAGAATCCTTGACTCCAAGAGCATTCCAGCTTCACCTTCTCCAGGAAAAAACTGTTTGTTCTCCTAGCAGTTCATGGTATATTCAACACTCTTATCCAGCACCACAGCTCAAATGCATCAATTCTCTTTCTGTCATCCTTATTCACTGTCCAACTGTGAAGACTATAGCCCAGATCAGGTGCACCTTAGTCTCCAGCCGGACATCATTGCTCATCAGTACTCTTGAGAGTCCCTCACAGCTCACTTTCCCACTGCAATTCATAGCTTGATTTCCTGGCAGCTGTTACCAAGAGTGTTGACTGTGGAAAGAAGTAAACTAAAACTGTTAACTATCTCATTCTCTTCACCATCGATACTGATGCTGCCAATTGGCCCACTGGTGAGATTCTTTGTTTTCTTGATGTTGAACTTCAATCCCTACAGGAGGCTGCAGTCCTTGACCTTCTGCAGCAAGCTCTTCAGGTCTTCCTCAGTTTCAGCAAGCAGGGTTGTGTCATATGCATAATGCAGGTTGTTAATGATTCTTGCACATATCCTGATGCCACATTCCTCCTTGTACAGCCCAACATCACGGATGATGCGTTCTGCATACAGATTGAAAAGGTATGGAGACAGAATACGTCCCTGATGGACCACCTTCTTGATTTTGAACCATGTAGTGTCTGTCTCCTTTCTCTGTTCTGATGACTGCCTCTTGGTCCAAGTATAGAGCATATCATATTATTTATTCGTTATGGCTTACAACTCATGTTGTTCTTGTTGTTGTTATGTGCCGTCGAGTC